CTCTCTCTCTCTCTCTCTCTCTCTCTCTCACACACACACACACACACACACACACACACACACACACACACACACACACACACACACACAGGCACTCGCAGGGAGGCGGAAGATATGAAGAACGAGGAGATGAAGTACAGGGATGCAGCAGCTTCTCTGCGGCACAACAACGTAGTGGCCGCGTCAAGAAGGACCCAGTTTCAAATCGAATTCGAATTTCTGGCGCCTCACGGCTGCGGGGGCATTGCAGAAAGACGGTAAACCCTCATGAGGGCATATGGCACAGGGCCCGACGGAAATGGGACCGCCAGTCCAAGGAGGGCGTCCTGGAAAGTTGCGGTCACTACCGACAAGGGCCTGCCGAAAATATGTTTTGGCCCAGGGGTGCGACAGGGTAAACCGGCCATCAGAGGGGCGCGACGCGAATTATCGCAAAATACAGGGGCGCCAGACAAATTTTCCCAAAAAAGAAAGGGCACCGGCCAGGGCCTGTCCCAACATCAAGGCTGACCCCCCAAATTGTTTTGATGGTTTTTAAGGCCTTTTTGAAACTGTGTTTTTGGGGCCGGACATGGGCAAAAGTGACTTTGCATGAGAGTTCGTTTCTTTGTGATTTTTTATTTTTTTATTTTTTTTTCCCTGTCTTCTTGGGGGAAGGGGCCGAGGCCATCTCGATTCGAATTGGCCTCTCCTCAATGCTGACCAGTTTGTGGGTCTGCCGTCACTCCATGGAGCGCCATTCGACGTCGTGAATGGGAGGAGCTTGGAGGGAGCCCACTATCACCCGCGATCAAAGGGGCACGTCGCCACGGCTACGCGTTGTCAAGGGAGCCACGCCAGCATTCCGTGCAGTGCAGAGAGAGAGAGAGAGAGAGAGAGAGAGAGAGAGAGAGAGAGAGAGAGAGAGAGAGAGAGAGAGAGAGAGAGAGAGAGAGAGAGATTGGGTGGAAAGTTGTGGCGCAGGAACCGAATTCTCTCTCTCTCGTGCGGGTGCGCATGTTCTCTTTCTCTCTCTCTCCCTCTCGATTCTGCCACACTCGACTTTGTGGGCTATCTAGGACACTTTGCGATTTCAATGCCCCATTTCCATCTCCATCTACTTCCTCCCCATTTTCCATCTCTCATCTCTCCCTCGGCTTTCTCCCCTGTTTCCATCTCCCCGTAAACTTCCTTGCTCATTTGAATATTTGAATATTTCCATGTTCTAGCGACAGATTCATTTCCATTTTGCTCATCCTATTGATATAACTCTCTCTCTCTCTCTCTCTCTCTCTCTCTCTCTCTCTCTCTCTCTCTCTCTCTC